AGCCCTGTTGGGAGACAATTGGTAGTTTCTTAAAACAAAAATTAAACCTACTCTTTACCGTATTATCCAGCAGCCAGACACCTTGGTATCTACCCCAGTGAACTGAAAACTAATGTTCACACAAAACCTGCCCAGGTAGGTTGAGAGTAGCTTCACCCATAATTACCAAGACTTGGAAGCAGTCCAGTTCCAAAAGTAAGTCAAGGGATGAATAAACTACAGTACGTGTATGCTGTGAGATGGACTAAGGCAGGAGTAGTCAGGGTTAAAGCAATGAGATATCAGTTCACAAAAAGATGTGGAGAAAACTTGGGTGCTCTTTGTTAAGTGAAATAAATCAATTTGGGAAAAGATACCTATTGTATGATTTCAACTATGTGAAACTCTGGAAAAGGTGAAACTATAGAGGGAAGGCTTAGCAGACAGGGCACAGAGGATTCTTCCTGCAGTGAAATGACACTGTCTGGTGCTATCATGTGGATACATGTCACCTGATATAATTGTCAAAGCCCATAGACTGTACAGCACCGAGAGTGAACTTCAAGGTTAACTGTGGAGTTGGCCTATGTAAGCTCCTTGACTGTGAGAAACAGACCTCTTTGATGCAGGAAACTATAGGGAAGATTCACTTGGCATCTGGATGTGTGACAGGAAGAAGTCCCTTTGTTTTCATCACAGATCTCATAATAGTACCTAGTGACACCCAAAGGACCAGGGACTACTGAGATTTCGGCCAGCCCTGTCTTTGCAGAAGTATCCTATGTGTGGTGGTAACGCAGTTGCTTGCCCAGTGTTTCTGTTGCATTGGTGTTTAAAACGTAGTTAACTTTGACATAATCTAAGTAACACATAAGAATTTTAACAAAAAAAAAATCACAGTAGCTTAACTATTATAGATATAAATTTAGGTAAATGTTGCTAATGCCATTTTCTTTACCAAAGGAAACATTTTCTAGTAGCATGTGTCTTTTTAACATAAATATTAAATTCTCTAAGACACAATCTTCACTTCTTAGCATCAGACAATTTTCCCCTCTGTAAGTACAGAACCCTCTGCGAGCATAGTAAACAGCCACATATGCGGTTACATTAACGAGGCACCAAATGTCTCTTCTGTTACAACTCACCTGCCAAAGTGTCTTCAGGATTCCCTGTATGCTGCAATTTTCCTTCTGAGTGTAGCAGTGTTATAGAAATGTATTCTTTGAAACACAGATCTCATGAGATTCTCCAGGACAAAGGAGTTTCCTAAATTCTTATTTGAAAGGTTTAAGGAGGTGAAGAATCTTATTTAATCAACACCCCTTGAATATCTGTAGTGAACTATCACACTACACCAACAAAATATCTTCAATTAAAATGATTTAAAAATTTTAAATAGAAGAAAAAATTAAAGCTCTAAATTGGGGGAGGAGGGAGAAATTCCTATTTGGAAAATGTGTATATATCATGTATAAAGGCCCTGACAGTTTTTATAACCAAGCTATTTAACTGAGCTCATCCTATCATTTCTTTTTTGTGTGTGTGTGTGTGTGTGTTTTTGTTTTTTTTTTTGTTTTGTTTTTTTGTTTTTTTTTGACAGGCAGAGTGGACAGTGAGAGAGAGAGACAGAGAGAAAGGTCTTCCTTTGCCGTTGCTTCACCCTCCAATGGCCGCCGCGGCCAGCGCGCTGTGGCCGGCGCACCGCGCTGATCTGATGGCAGGAGCCAGGAGCCAGGTGCTTTTCCTGGTCTCCCATGGGGTGCAGGGCCCAAGCACTTGGGCCATCCTCCACTGCACTCCCTGGCCACAGCAGAGAGCTGGCCTGGAAGAGGGCAACCGGGACAGAATCCGGCGCCCCGACCGGGACTAGAACCCGGTGTGCCGGCGCCGCTAGGCGGAGGATTAGCCTAGTGAGCCGCGGCGCCGGCCTTTGTGTGTGTTTTAAGATTTATTTATTTATTTGAAAGGTAGAGTTATAGTGAGAGAGGTAGAGAGACAAAGAGAGATCTTCCATCCACTAATTCACACCCCAAATGGCCACAACAGCCAGAGCTGGGACAGACAGAAGCCAGCAAGCAGGAGCTTCTTCCAGGCCTCCCACATGAGTGCAGGAGCCCAAGTACCTGTGCCATCCTTCACTGCTTTCCCAGGCTATTAGCATGAAGCCAGATTGAAAATGGAGCAGCGTGGCCTCAAACCGGGGCCCGTATGGAATGCTGGCATCGCAAGCAGTAGCCTTCTCTGCTACGACACAGTGCCAGCCCCCTAACATTTCTTAAAAATATTTCAACCTTTTATTTATTTCCCTTGAAGAAATTCCTAGCACAATTTTGAAAATGATAAGTTCAGAAACACAAAGACCCCAGTTCAAAAAAAATGCAAACATGTTATCTGGAACAGTGACACAATAAATTATCATAACTGTGAATAAATCAGGCCCAGAAAGACAAAACACCACATGACCTCATTCACATGTGGAATCTTTAAAAGTTGATCTCATAGAAGTTGAGAGTAGAATAGTGGTTACCAGAGGCTGGAGAGAGTAGGGGGAGGGTGGAGAGGCTGATCAAAGAGTACCACAATACAGTTAGATGGCAGGAATAAGTTCTGGTCTTGTATATTACAGTAGGATGAATGTAATGTGCAAGAATGCATCATGCGTCTCAGAGTAGGTGGGAGAGAGGATTTTGAATATACTCACCATAAGGAGGTGATAAGAAGTTTAAGTTGACAGATACACTAACTACTCTGACCCTTATCCAGTATCTACTTAAAGCAGAACATCACACCGTAACTTATATAGGTGTCAATGATCACATCGTGTGTCAATCAAAACAGTAATGGAATAATGGAAAGAATCGCCTAGTTAAACACCAAGGGAAAAGGACTCTGAGGGGGAGGAAGTCAGAAGAAGTTCATTCATTTGCAGATGTCAACTATGATTTAGCCTCAGTGCAGACTGGGATAAGACACGTAGGACTTTGGGGTACAACACCTTGGGGGTGTTGGAAATACGTGGACTCTGATGCCCTACAATGCCCTAACTCTGCAGTCTCATTCCAATTCTTCCCTCTCTAGCGATCTTGCACCCAGAAGCAGGTGGTGGCTGGATAAGCTGTGAGAAACACTGCATTTGAGGATGGGGTGGAGAAAACAGAGAAGGATGGAGAAGGAATGGCCAAGAATGGAGAGCAGCTGCACTATTTGTTCCAACTGTCAAAAAGTTCATGCATGAAACTTTCCCCAGGCCCAGAGGAGCTGATTCTGTGTGGGTTCCTTCTGTGTCTGTCTGGTTCCTCCTGGGCTGCTTCACATTCTGTTAACTCCAGCCTCAGTCATGGGTGACCGTTTTCAAGATGATACAAAAGCTCTTACGTGAGCCAGTTTATTGTTACCAATATTTTCACTGACGCACTTTGATCAATACTCGACAAGTCAATTAAAGCATACAAATGCGTTCTCAGGGAAATCCACTGGAGTCCCCTCTCCCCCCTTTAAAAAGCATATCTTTATTCCCCACCCCCTTTTCTTTTTAAAGAAACACAACTCTCCGAAATTTGTGCATCCTTCTGATTCTGGTTTTAGAAAGGAAATGAAATTTGTCACGCTGCCATACATCATTTCCCTCGCAGTGCAATGTCCCATCTGTGTGTCAAGTACAAAAGAAAAGCATTTTGTGAAAAATTGCTAAAGAAGTAATGATTTTTGTCCTCAACTCTTTGTTTTGCCTTTCAATAAAGAAGGCGACATGTGCCATAAATGATGTATTATTGTTTGGGTACAACCCCAGTAACACAGTGCATAACCAAAACCATGTTTCACAGCACAGAAACTATAGTTTACTGCCCCTATGGCTCTGATGAGAATATAATGTTCTACAGTTTATAAATGCTTTGAGGTCAATACGTGATTTGCTTCAGCTTGTTCATCCAATGAGCAGGGGATCCAAAAATATATCAAGCTTTTAGACAGCCCCCTGGAAGCTGGGTTGAGGCAGTAGTGATGGAGCGGCTCTGTGGCAAGCCCTCTGTCAGCTGGAGACGAGATAATTAGATCCAGGTAATACATTGGAGCCCCAATAGGGAGCCAACAAGCAAACATGTCATCTTTATGGCTCTTTCTTGTCCTGCACAGGAACTGTGGCCAAAGACACTGAGGCATCAGGGATTCGCCGACGCCTAGCAACGCCCTACTGTCGCTCAGTCAGCCTCCTTATCGGGAGACCTTGCCTGCTACAGAAGCAAAGAAAAAGGACAGAGCAATCAGGAGAGGCTCCTTTTCAATAATTTTTCTTCATTTCTCCATCAATTTTTTTTTCTTTTTAACAATTTGCTCTAAGTTTTGCACTAGCATTCTCCTGGGGCTCTAACTATAGACAGAAACTTCAAACATTTTGTCGAAACTGGAAGTAAAAGATAAATTTATTTTGGTACAGATCAATTTTGAAATCCATGCATAAATCTGTAATAAAACACATTTTCCATGGCCTTCCATGAAGACCCTTCACGTAAATTTTACTAGTTTTTCCATCTCTTATTTAAAATAACCCTCACACTGGGGATGCTCTCCAAATGGCAGGTAAATAGTCGCTTCTCTCAACTCCTTGAATTAAGTACAAGAGACTGTCCTTCCACACTATTTCAGCTGGAGAGTCATTGTTGTCACTGTTTCACTCATTTATTAAGCATTTATTGAGGGGCTGGAATCACGTCAGGCACAGTGCTAGACTGTGGTGATGCAAGATAAAGGTTGAGTACCTTGGACTATAGTCAAGTTGGGAGAGATTGTGTGCGATGATATTTTATAAATGATTAATTGCTTACATTTATGAAAAGAGCTTTGAAGGAAAAGTTCATGACACTTGCCAAGATTATAAGGGACTTTCATTTAGTTTGAGAGAATGGAGGCTGCTTTCCTGAGGAAAAGATACCAAACTGAAACCCAAATGTTAAACAATAGGATTTAGCTCAGTGAAAGGATAGAATGATAGGTCTTGGAATGAGGAATGTTCTCATAACAGAGGTAGAGGCACAGAAGTTGGAAGGGCTATTACCACCACTGCCATCATTAATACTGTCACCACAGGTGTCGTCATAGCTGCCGCCATCACACCACGATCACCACCATCACATACCATGATCACCATCACCATCTTTATCACCACCACACACCATAGTCATTATCATCATTACCATGATCAACATCATCATTTTGACCATCATCATTACTACCAACACCACTATGATTACCATCACCACACACCAGCACCACCCTCACCATCACCATGGATATCATTGTCAGCACTAGAACACCCCATGACCACCACGCCATTATCATCACCATCACCACCATCAACACTACCATGGTTATCCCTGCCACCACTATCGTCATCTTCACCACCAGTGCTAGTATCACTCTGAACAGAGCTGCGGGAGGCTGTGCCGCCACTTCTAAAAGTCTTCTATAATGCTTAGTATATATTGAAATGGAGACTTGCTACTGCCAACTCAATACACAGAGAACATCTCTCTTCACATATGTAGGTTAGGAAGCTAGGCATCACAACATATTTTTTTTAGCCAATGCAATTTGATTCCAAATCTGGCAAGCTCATTATATTCATAGTAGACATTTTGAATATGTCCAGTCTCTAAAAATAATGCTTTTAAGTGGTGATTCTTGCATTTGTAAATGATTATTGTCATGTTTAAAGTCACAAATACAAATATTTCTTTTTTAAAGATTTACTTATTTATTTGAAAGGCAGAATTAGAGAGAGAGAGAGAAAGAGAGAGGGAGAGGGAGAGGGAGAGAGAGAAAGGTCTCCCATCTGCTGATTGACTCCCCAGATGGCTGCAATGGCCAAGTCTGGGTCCAGCTTGGGCCGGGTCTCCCACATGAATGGCAGAGGCTCAAGCACTTGGGTCATCTTCTGCTGCTTTCTCAGGCATGTTAGCAGGGAGCTGGATTGAGAGTGGAGCATGCAGGACATGAACTGGTGCTCATATGGGATGCCAGTGTCACCGTTGGCGATTTAACCCACTATACCACAAGACCACCAATGCCAATCTTTATGCTAGTGTTGTACATTCGAAGAACATTTATTGAATCTTCTCATTACTACCATTTGATTTGAAAATGTTCTGTATTGCTATATATTTTTTCAAAAGGTAAATATAAGGAAGAATTTGATGTCACTAAGTAAACATAAACTTGATGAAGCAGAAGTAATAAACATGTCTCATTAATTGAATAGCTAACCACATATACTCATAAAAAGATTTTGAAAATGGTATTTTACCTACTCTAAGTAGGATTTTATGTGCTACATGCAATGATACTGTTTTTTTTAAGGTGTGTGAAAAATTGTTGCAATCAACACTTTGCTGTGTAGGTGACAATATGAGGCCTGAGAGAGAAAGAGACATATGTGTGATCATCTTATTAATGATACACAAGTTCTTAGGTACATGCCAGATCCTCCACACTGAACTATACAATGGCAATGCAAAGACAAGTAGGATATGGTCATTCACCATAAAAAGTTCATTACTTATCATGTAGGCAGTAAGAATTCAGACAACTTTAAAAATATGTAATATTCACATAAAATTTACAGCATGCTACAGAAGCAGAAAGAAGGAAGACTTAAGAATTTAAGCAAGATAAGAAGAGAAATAATATCATAGCCAAGCAAAGAGATTAGCTCAAGTATGGATACAATTAAACAGATAGACCCTAGGAAAGCTCAATGGTGTATTAAAACATAGCATGAAAAGTAGACAGTGGCTACATGGACTGACAGGGCCAGAACATAGGATTTGGATACCATGACAAGTTACTTAGGCTTGGCAATGTCAATCACTGGATAGTTCCCAGCATGGAAGTGGTCAAGCCAGATCTATTCTCTCAGCTATCAGAAGAGGAGGAAACAGTGGTGTTGAGAAGAGGTCAGCTATGAGGAAGGCTAGCCCACAGTCACGCCCATGAACAGCCTGGTGCCATCGTACTTCACAGAATCAGAGCAATGACAGTAGATGGCACATGCAAGATACAGAGGCAATGCCGCTAGACTCAAGGTTTTCCACATGGGTGATTAGGTGGAAAGTGGGACTGAACAGGGATAGAGAGAAGGAAGCTTACCAAAGAACAAGGGAGGGCACAAGGGGCTGGGCTTTCTAATTTTGGATGTGTGTATGGCTCCCAAGACAAGGCTTTGTGATTACTAGCCATCAGTGAGATAATCCAGTTAAACACAGATCAACTTGAATCCCAATGGGGTACTCTTTCCAGTAGAGCTTAGTATCTTCCAGGGACAATCAGATTTTCCCTTAAGCTGTTTTTCAGAGTTGGATTGGAAGACTCACCTAGCAAAACAATAGAAACCATACAATAAAATCTGCTCCGGACTCTTAATGACAGTAAATACTAAGAATAAACAACTGAATGTCTCTTTTTGGCTCAAAATGATTACACTTTAAAACTTGGACATACCTTATAGAAGGTCCTAAGGCCTGAGTTAATTCCTACTCTCTGGTTTACACTCTCTGGTTGGTCCCAAGTCCTCCAGCTATTTGGAATGACACATCCCTTTGTGTTTTTTTTTTTTTTTTAATTTAATTTATTTTATTTTTTTTACAGGCAGAGTGGACAGTGAGAGAGAGAGACAGAGAGAAAGGTCTTCCTTTTGCCATTGGTTCACCCTCCAATGGCCGCTGCGGCCGGTGCGCTGTGGCCGACGCACCACGCTGATCCGAAGGCAGGAGCCAGGTGCTTCTCCTGGTCTCCCATGGGGGGCAGGGCCCAAGCACTTGGGCCATCCTCCACTGCACTCCCTGGCCATAGCAGAGAGCTGGCCTGGAAGAGGGGCAACCAGGACAGAATCCAGTGCCCCAACCGGGACTAGAACCCAGTGTGCCGGCGCTGCAAGGCGGAGGATTAGCCTAGTGAGCCGCAGCGCCAGCCGACACCTCCCTTTAAAATTAAGATAAAATAACTGGAGTTACCATTCCATAGACAGTGGTGTCATTCACGTTTTCCCAGGACAGAGCAACAGAGCATAGTGATACAAAGCATGTGTCGGAGCCGGGCTGCGTGTGAACCCATAACATGCCACTTACAGATGTGTTACTACTGAAAAAATTGCTTAAATTATCTGTGTATCCATTTCTTCATCTTTAAAGTAGGCATAATATTACCTCCTTCATAGGATTCTTTGAGTACTAAATTAACAATGTGTTCAAAGTGTTCAGAACAGTGCCTGGAGCATAGTGACCACTCAGTCCACGTTAACTAGAGTGTCCTCGAGCTCCTTGGATATTGGGTTTACCATGTCTCCCATCTCCTCCACTACAGTTTTGAAGGCACTTTGCTGCGCACTGCCCAGCTGTGATCCAACATTCTTCTGACTTTACAACCCAGAGTGATGCACTTCTCTGGTTCATAGCATGCTTGAATGGACGGTGGAAGAACGGAGCCTGACTTCTTTGCCCCATAAATCCCAGGAAGGAATGTTTCCTACATACAGGAAGAGTTCTTTCCAAGAAGAATCCAGACCTGTTTGAATCTTGGGCAGTGGTTTGTGACCTCTGCACTAGTTCTGGTGACCCCAACAGATGATTATTTCTACAAGATTCGATGCTGTTTGCCTTTGCCCCCTGCTTGAGAGCAGATGCCCATCTGTGGCTGTTGATATAATCTGTGCATCAGTGATGGCTTTATAAAAATAAATTGATTGAGATGGAAATCTGTGAAGTTTATGAAACTGTGTATTTTTTGACAAAAGTTACATTATAAAAAGGACAGAGGAGAGATATGGAATAATTTATAAGGAAGATCCCACGGGATAGTAAATAAATTACAGAGTGAAGTCTGAGCCGAACTGTCTTCTATTAAAGTCTCTTCATTGTTATTCAAGTGAATTTCATCCCTCTCCCAAGTGGAAACTATTTACACAAAACAAGAATATTAGAAATAGAATCCCAGGAATTTGGGCAGTGAAAGAAAATCTTGTTAAAACTTGAGAGTAGAGTTGGCTGTAGGCAAAATTGTCAAGATTCTTTTTGTCACCTTTCTGCCTCTCTGTTCAGTCTTCTTTCCAGATTCTCCACTTTCCCAGATGCCTTTCCTCATGATCGCAAGACCAATGTGCCATTTATCATCCACTAATTCATCCAGATGCCTGACACGTGCCCTGTTCTTGGCATGGGAGGACAGACTTAAGTGGGAGACAATTCTGGCCTTTCTGGAGCTTACACTCATCTCTGAAGGTTACTCACCAATTTGTAAAAACCCTCCCACCAACTACGAGAAATCCAACCTAGGTGGAATGGTGCAAGGGAAACACACACATATTCCTAAAATACCCAATAAATCCAAGGTTGTCAGTGGAGGTGGTGGGGTTGATTGTATTTAGTTACTGTGTGTTTTCCTGGTTGGTTAGTAGCTTTTTATTTTATTTCCTTTTCTTTGGGCTTAGGAAATAAGCTTTTAAGACAAAACTAAATGATCTCTTTCCTCACGGAGTTTAAGATACATGAAAAGGCACCAGCAAAGTAAGGACTCATTACTCATCTATATTTTAGCACAAAATGTAAGAAAAAGAGCTTGCGATTCTTCACTGAGAAAATCAAATGGTCTACCAGCACATTTACAGCAGAAAACGTAAAGAAAGAAAATTCTACAAGAATGCAAAGTGCTATTTGCAACAAACTTGACAAAGGGTTAATATGTTAATATAAAAATAATTTAGGGGGCCGGTGCCATGGCTCACTTGGTTAATCCTCCGCCTGCGGCACCAGCATCCCATATGGGCGCTGGGTTCTAGTCCTAGTTGCTCCTCTTCCAGTCCAGCTCTCTGCTGTGGCCCGGGAAGGCAGTGGGGGATGGCCCAAGTGCTTGGGTACCTGCACCCACATCGGAGACCAAGAAGAAGTACCTGGCTCCTGGCTTCAGATCGGCATAACTCTGGCCGTGGCGGCCATTTTGGGGGTGAACCAACAGAAGGAGGACCCTTCTGTCTCTCTCTCTCTCTCTCACTAACTCTGTCTGTCAAATAAATATATATATATAATTTAAATAAATTTATAGGAAAATCACTACATTTCCAAAGAAACTCAGCAAGACACATTCAAAAGGTAATTCATAAATAATAAACAACCAATGAACATTGTTCGTTATTTATGGTAAATAATAAATACATGTTTCAACTATGAAGCTAGGACAGCTATTCATACAGGTCAACAGGTCAACTTTTTGGGAGAATGTTTTACATTTCACTAAAACATATCAAAGCAGCAGAAGCTTGACTATGCAAATACACACACACCTATGATACATTTGTATTTGTACATATTTATTCATAGAAAAATAATGGAAAAAATGAGAAATTTTAGCCCTTTCCAAAGAGTTAGAGTACTTTTTATTTTATCATATATCCTTTTCTACATTTCGGCTTCTTGCCTTTTTACATCTGAATATGTTAGCGTGTTTTTCCATACATACTCATATAGGTATGTTCCTGCACACCTGCACACACGTGTATATTATAGTAATAACATTCTTTTCATGTAGCCACAGTATGATTATCAAAACCTAGAGGTTAACTTTGCCATAGTGCTGCCACCTGATCTATAGAACTTATTCAAAATTTACCAATTTTCCTACTAATGTTCTTTAGAGAAAACTAAAAAGTCTGTTGTGAGACCCAAGCCAGAATCAGAGTTGCATTTCTTCGTCACGACTCTTTAGTCTGCTTTCATCTAGAATAGTTCCTCAGACTTTCCTTATCTTGTATAACATAACTTTTAATTTTTTTCAACCTGAAAGGCAGTGAGATAGAAGGAGGGAGAGAGAGACAAGAACACACACCCACACACAAACACACATACGGAGACAGCTCCCATCTACTGGTTCACTCCCTGAATGTCTATGCAGACCAGGGCTGAGCCAGACTGAAGCAGAGGCCAGAGACTCAACCCAGGTCTCCCACGTGGATGACAAGGATCCACCAACTCAGGGTGGATCCACCCTCGGGCGCACATTAACAGGAAGCTGCAATTAGGAGTGTGGCCGGCTTGAACACAGGCACTTGGAGACAGGATACCAGCATCACAGCTTGCATCTTGATCACTATGCCAAATGCCAGCTCCTGTCAAGCAGAGTTAGACATGAGTGACTAGGGAAAGGGTCTTAAGACCCTCCTCCAGGGGTGGAACCAAAGACTCTTTGCCCGGGGCCACCCAAGGCCACCAGACATGCTGCTTAACTTGTGGTTTAAGTATCCTCATAAAATGGGAGCTCAGCCAACCCAGGAAAATCTTATGTACAGCCACATGCACAGAGCTCAAAGCTATGCATCTCCCAGATGTCAATCACAAATGCAAATAATGAGCATCTCTACCACATAACCAATCATCTTTAGGTTTTAGGGGCAAGGAGCCCTCGACTGGCCCACTCCCCTCTTGGAGCACACTTTTATGAACCCTGCTTTGCTACTGCTTTTGTCTCAATGAACAAATTCATTAATCTGCTGGCAAAAAGAATGGCGGCAAAAGGGTCACCTTCACTGCCAGTCCCACCACTTACCATTTCCGATGACCACTGACCAGTTGTTTCACAGGATGACCTCGTTTGGGCTTTGTCTGATGTTTTCCTTAATTAAACTCAGATTACTCATGTTTGACAGGATTGTCACAGAAGTCATTGTATGCTCAGTACAGTATATCAACCGCCAACTTATTTTATTCCTGTCAACTTACTTTACTCATGTCAACTTATTTTATTCCTGTTGACTTCGATTGTGATTATTTGGTTTAAGGATGTGTCTTCCAGCTTTCTCCACTATGAAACTGCTTTTTTTGGAATTTAATAAATGTCTTATGAATATTTTAATATGTAAACACCATATTTATAATACAAATTAACAATTAGTTTTAGCACCCATTGTCTATTCCCTAGTCTGACTCAATATTTCCATAATGGTTGCCAAATGGTAACTTTCTAATTTCATCATTCCTTCCTCATTTATTAACTGGCCTTCATATTTCTAATATTTTTGAATGATCATATATGAAATACATAATCAGCAAAGATAATAAATGCCATCCAAATGTAAAAATTGGCACGTCTTCTTTCTTCTTTATTTGTTACATTTGAAGAATTTAGAAGTAGGGCCAGTGTTGTGGCACAGAGGCTTAGGCCATTGCTTGTAACATAAGCACGCTGTAACTAAGTGCCTGTTCTGAGGGCTGGCTGTTCTGTTTCTGATTCATCTCCCTGCTAATGTTTCTGAGAAAGTAGCAGAGGACGGCCCAAGGACTTCTGCTCCTGCCACCCATGTGGGAGACCCAGATGGGAGTTCCCAACTCCTGGCTACAACTAGGCTGAGACCTGGCTGTTTTGGCCATTTGGAGAGTGAACCAAGTAGTGGACTGACTCTCTCTCTCTCCCTCTCTGTCACTCTGCCTTTCAAATAAATAAATAAACAAATTTTAGGAAAAATGAAATGCACACACACACACACACATATATAAACCTTGTTTTGCTGTTCTTGCTTTACACACACACACACACACACACAGAGCACTTGGGATGCCCTGTATGCCCATTTTCATGTCCCAGCTCCACTCCTGGTTCCATCTCCTGCTAATTCATACCCTGGGAGGCAGCAGCTGATGCCATAAGTACCAGAACTCCTGCTCCTCATGTGGGAGACCTGGGTTGTGTTTCCAGTTCTTAGCTTTGGTCTGGTCCAGCCCTGATCATTTCAGATAGGAATTCTTTCTGTCTGTCTTTCTGTCTCATTCCCTGTCTCTCTGCTTCTCAAAAATATAAATAAATAAGTACAAATTTAGAAGAGGAAACATGTTGCAATCAACTAAATACTTTTTCAAGCACAAAAAAATTATAATTTTGATTTTAGAATTTTGGTCAAATTAAAATATACTTAGCTGGTGCCGTGGCTCACTAGGCTAATCCTCCACCTGCGGCACCAGCACTCTGGGTTCTAGTCCTGGTTGGGGTGCTGGTTTTGTCCAGGTTGCTCCTCTTCCAGTCCAGCTCTCTGCTGTGGCCAGGGAGTGCAGTGGAGGATGGCCCAAGTGCTTGGGCCCTGCACCCTCATGGGAGACCAGGAGGAAGCACCTGGCTCCTGGCTTCGGACTGGGGCAGTGCGCCAGCCATAATGGCCATTATGGGGTGAACCAATGGAAGGAAGACCTTTCTCTCTGTCTCCCTCTCTCACTGTCTAACTCTGCCTGTCAAAAATATATATATATACATACTTAAAAATTAATGTTTGTTCCTCTCTTCTGGGAAAGTAACAAGAAGTGACTTTAATTATAGCAGGCAAAAGAACATTTGGATTATAGTAAATTTTGAACAATAAGTCCAACTCTAAAAGGATAATGGGTTAAAAAATAAATTTATATTTTAACAACACATTCAAACATTTAAAAATATTTACTTAATCATTTTTTTCCTTTATTTGACAGAGAGAAACAAATCTTCCATCTACTGTTTCACTCCCCAAATAACTGCAATAGCTGAGGTTGGGTCAGGTCAAGCCAGGAGCCCAGGACTCTGTCTCCTATGTGGGTAGTAGACACCCAAGCACCTGGGTGATCATCCACTGTCTCCAGGCACATTAGCTGGAAGCTGGATCAGACGGCAGACCTGGTAGTTGATCGCAGGTAATCCAACCTGGGATGTGGGCATCCCAATCCAGGCTTAACCTGCTGTGCATCCCCTCATGCCGCTTTAGTTAATGTTGCTTAATGTTTCAGTTTTTCCTAAAGTAACTATAATCCTTGACAGTTGGTACAGCTGGGGACTGGGGGGCCAGAGTCATACCTGAAAATTTAAAAAAAGGGGGAATAGAAATCAGAAAATAGAAATCAATTCTCTTTCCTCCTAAATTAGACTTGTCTTAGTCAGTTTTGTGCCGCTATAACAGAATACCTGAGAACACATGATTTACAATAAACAGAAATATATGAGTAGAAGTTCTGGAGGCTGAGAAATCCATTGTCAAGGTGTTGGTGTCTGGGATTTGTGCTGTGTTATCTCAATGGAGTCAAACTCATTTCTACAACTCACACTCTTCTCTCTCCTCTCTCCTCTCGCTACTCTCCTCTCTCCTCTCTCACTCTCCCATTCAAATAAATAAGAACATAAATAAATAAATAAATAAATAAATAAATTTTAAAACAAAAAACAGAAGCAGGTGTTGAAGTGCAGTGGGTTAAGCTGCCGTGTATATATTTACCAGGGTATCTAATAAAAAAAAATCATTGCCAAAGACAAGCAATAGCTAAATGTGTTATAATTCCAAGGCTGCTTGATTTAGCAAACTGTTCCTGGGCACATAGAGATTATAAGGAACAGAACCTAAATGATGCCATTTGGGGCACTAGGGAATGTGATTGGTTAGAAGTACTGCCTGTCTTTCGCATTAAAGATCTTTTAAGCTCTTTACAAAGCAATGTACAGTGTGAATAAATCTGAACTTGTCAGAGAGTGGAGGTAGTGATGTCAGCAAAAATGTCAAAATAAAAGCAGTCTGACTTTCCAAGGAGATTGAGAGCATTTGCCTCTTGAATTGGGAGGATATAAATGAATGCAGGAAAGATCAACTAATCCTTTGGCTCAGCTTCCTTGTAGAAGGAGCCAAGTGCAATCCCAGTTGTAGAAGTTTCAACCAGGAAAACTTCCTGTTGATATCTGTTCCCTGGCTGGTTCAAGGACCTACATATATGCGTTGAAGTGAGATACATATTTCACCTCCCTGGGGTGGAGAGAAAGCTCCTAATTTCCTTACTTCCCTTGGCTGTGAATTAAAGCCATACTGACAATGAAGCAGAGAGCCTCAAAGGTGTCTTTTAGCCATGTGACCGGTCTGGCTTTGGATTCTGTACAGTGGAATCCGAGTTCACCACATCAGACAAATCAGAGAAGCGAAACCCAGAAGACCAGCTAGGAAAGTGCTGTGTAGGAAGCGAAGGGTTTTTGGTTGGGAGAGGGGGCAAAATTCAGAGGCTGACAGCAGAAATCAGGGCTAGGATAGAAGGTCCCAGATAGCAGGCTCCTCAAATAGAAGTGCTATAGATTTGCATGAGTTGATAGGGCTAGCATGACCTCCCTCATTTGAGATGTCACGTTCATTCTCTGGGTTTCAGTTTCTTTACCAATAAAAGAGCATAATATGAATGGCTATACCCTTAACTTCACAGTTACTTATGGAAACAGGTTTGATATAGACTTAAAAAGTAAAGAGGGGCTGGCATTGTTAGGTGCGACACCAGCGTTCCACATAGGCACTGGTTTTTGTCCCTGTGGCTCCACTTCCAATAAAGCTCCCTGCTAATGGCCTGGGAAAAGCAGCCAAAGATGACTCAAGTGTTTGGGACCTCACCATCCATTTGGGAGACCCAGATGAAGTTCCTGGCTCCTGGCTTCAGCCTGGCTCAGTGCTGGCCATTGCAGCCATCTGGGGAGTGAAAGCAGCAGATGAAAGATCTCTCTGTGTCTCTCCCTCTCTTTCAGTAACTCTGAATTTCAAAATGAAAAAATAAATATTTTTTAAAAAGTAATAGTGAAAAATTCTCTATATTGAAATAATCAAATTCAAGTTTGGAAAATAGTTTAATTATTTTTAATTATTGCAAACATTATAAATGAAGAACCTCCTAGTAATCCACCCCTATGATCCCTCACTTCTGAATCCCCCATGCTTATTTATTTACTTGCAAAGAGAAAGACAGATCTGCCATCTGCTGGTTCACTTCCCAAATTCTCTCAATGGCCTCTGCCTGGGCCAAAGCCAGGAGCTAGGAACACAATTCAGGTTCCACATGTGAGTGGTAGGAATCCAATTACTTGAGCCATCACTGTTGACACCCAGGGTTTGCATTAGCAGGAAGCTGGAGTAAGGAGTGAAGCTGGGAGTTGAACTCAGGCACTGTAATGTAGGGTGTGGGTGCGTGTTAACCTGTTTTTTAACTGCCCTGCCAATGCACACCATCTTTAAAGAATAACCTCTTTCCTCCTAGATGGAGCACGTAGCTCTAGATTTACTTTGGACCCTGTTGCCTCATTCACATATTCCTTCATTGAACTGACTCTGCTCCCTCCATTCCTTTTTCTCTTCTATGTGTCTCCTCTTCTGACTTTCTCCTTGAATATAAAAATGCTCATGACTTTCATCTAAAAAATTTTCCTTTGCTTATATCAAGTTATAATCATAAATCTCCATCTCAGTTTTTTAGAAGTAAAATCAGTAATCTCAGTTGCTTTACCCACTGAAATAATGGCTTCTGCACACATAATATTTAAATGGATCTCATCAGAATTAAGACTAGTAAGAAAATGACGGCAATGGTGAAGGAACAAGGCATTAAATGATGATGGTAGACACTATGAGACTATCACCATAGTTCTAAAAAGTAGGCAAAACTGTTTATGTCCAGTTTACAGATAAGTATTGTTTGTTTCTATTTTATAGATAAAGACTGGAGACATCAAGCAGTTAAACACTTGTCTAAGAATGTAGAAGTAGTTATTGCAGGAGCCAAGATTGGAACCCATGTCTACCAAATCATATATTTCCAATCTGGAGTTTCCTCCCAAGCATGAGATTAATTACACAAGTGTCTACTATCCCTTTTACCTTGGTCCATCAATCTCAACAAGTTCAAAATCAAATCCATCATCTCCTCTCAAAATTTGAACCCTGTTGCCAGACACTTCATTGCCTTATAAACTTATTCTGATGGCTAAATTCTCTCAAGTCTTACAAAATGTAAGACGTACATTTTTCCTGGTTTTGCCTCGCTTCTGAGGAGTCTTCCATTTTTTTTTAAGATTTTATTTTTATTTATTTGAAAGGCAGAGTTACAAAGAGAAAGAGGGAGAAACATAAATAGAGAGAGAAAGAGAAAGAGAGAGAGAGGGAGGGAGGGAGACAGAGAATGAATCTTCCATCCTCTGGTTCACTCCCCAAATGGTCACAACTACCAGGGCTGGGCTAAGCTGAAGCCAGGAAGTAGGAGCTTCATTTGGGTCCCCCAAAAGGGTGCAGGGACCCAAGTGATTAGGCCATCCTCTGCTGGTTTCCTGGGAACGTTAGCAGGGAGGTGGGTCAGAAGTGGAGCAGCTAGGACTTGAACCAGTGACCATACAGAATGGTGGCATTGCAGGAGGTGACTTAACTCACTATGCTACAGTGCAGGCCCTAGGTATCTCCCAATTTTACATCCCACAAATACTCGGTGAAAATTGCTACATAGGGCATAATTTAGAGTCAGTTGATACCAAGAGATATGAAACATGATCCTTCACTCAAAATATTTGTAGTCTTTCTAAGTAGAAAAGACAACTCAAAATATTTGCAGAAAACTGTACAAAGTCACTTAGAACAAGATTCCTTTAGTATGAACTCAGCATATGTTGTAGGGATAACTACCTGGTATCCGTAATGAATGATGGTCTTAACTTTGCTTGCAAATGTCAAGTGAAGAGCAATTCGGAAAGGTTATATATTAGAAAAACTATTTAAACTGGGCAGCAATATTTCTTTTTTTGGTCTATGTCTTGAAAAAATAAATATTAAATTGAATCATGTTATGTCTAATTATTCAAAATGTATGTGAATATCTTTAAATATTCTAAGCATAAAATTTCTGGCCCCTGCAATTAAGCTTCTGCATTGTATTGTTTTTGCCTATACAAACTACCTATGATAAAACATAACTTAGAAATCAGGCAAGTGAGCAATTATAACAAAACAGAACCATTAAAACAAGATATTGTAAAAAAAAAAAATGCCAGCATCAATACCCTTGTATTTTGAGGCCATTGTTAAATAAAACAACAGTTACTTTTGGGCTGGACTTTGTGGCAAGTGGATTAGGTTGCAACCTACTATGCTGGCATCTCATTTAAGCACTAGTTCAAGTTTCCGTTGCTCCACTTCCAATCCAGCTCCCCGATAATGCACCTGGAAAAGCAGCTGAAAGTGACCTAAGTCCTTGAGCCTCTGCTATCCACAATGGGAGACCCACATAGAATTCATGGCTCCTGCTTTCAGGCTGGCTCAGCTTCAGTTGCTGCAGCCATTTGGGGAGTGAATCAGAAGATGGAGGTTCTCTCTCTCTCTCTCTCTCTCTCTCTGCCATTCAAATAAATAAATAAATCTTTAAAAAGAGTTGCTTGGGCCGGCGCCATGGCTCAATGGGCTAATCTTCCGCCTGTGGTGCTGGCACACCGGGTTCTAGTCCCGGTCGGGGCACCGGATTCTGTCCCGGTTGCCCCTCTTCCAGGCCAGCTCTCTGCTGTGGCCCGGGAGTGCAGTGGAGGATGGCCCAGGTGCTTGGGCCCTGCACCCCATGGGAGACCGGGAGAAGCACCTGGCTCCTGGCTTCGGATCAGCGCGGTGCGCCAGCCGCAGTGGCCATTGGGGGGTGAACCAACGGTAAAGGAAGATCTTTCTCTCTGTCTCTCTCTCTCACCATCCACTCTGCCTGTAAAAAAAACAAAAAACAAAACAAAACAAAACAGAATATCTCCAGAGATAAATAATGAGAAAAAAATTTTTAAAGAGTTGCTTGAACACAAGCATTGCAATACTAACGTAATCGGTCTAATAACTTAAATGGCTTCTACATGATGAATGGGCAGGTAGAACATACAGCATGGAGATACTAGACAGATGGATGATTTATTTCATGGGTGAGATGGAGCAGGATGGCTTGAGGTTTTATCATGCTGGTTAGAAACGTGAGAAATCTTCATTTCTAGAACTTCCCATTTATTTTGTTCAGACTCCAGTTGAATAGGAGAACAGAAACTATGGA